TTTTTTTTAAAGCAATTTATTGGATTTTACAATAGGAATAAATGTAATAAACAATATAACATTCGTCTTAACATAATTTCACATTTTCTTTGGACTTCCTCACATCTCCCGCTCCCACCTTCATCATTATAACATTTTGTCAGCAATTTATCATCTTATTTAAATTCTTATATCTCTTCGATATTTCATAATCTTATAGTTCTCATAAAGAGTTAAACTTTCACAGTTTTTCTTATTTTCTTAAAAACTTCTAAGTTAAGTGGTGCTCAGTTATTTAGTCTAGCATCTTATTCAGCATTCAGTCAAATCACAATGTTTTTGTAGGTAGTTCTTAAATTTCTTCCAATCCTCCTCGATTCTCTCTTCTCCCAGGTCACGGATTCTGCCAGTCATTTCAGCCAGTTGCATATAGTCTATCAGTTGCATCTGCCATTCTTCCAGTGTGGGTAGATCTTGAGTTTTCCAATGTTTTGCGAGTAGTATCCTTGCTGCTGTTGTTGCATACATAAAAAATGTCTGGTCCTTCTTTGCCACCCCTTGGCTGACAATACCCAAAAGGAAAGCCTCTGGTTTCTTAGTGAAAGTATATTTAAATACCTTTTTCAATTCATTATAAATCATTTCCCAGAACGCCTTCACTTTAGGGCAGGTCCACCAGAGGTGAAAGAACGTTCCTTCACACTCTTTACATTTCCAGCACTTGTTATCAGACAGGTGGTAAATTTTTGCGAGTTTGACTGGGGTCATATACCATCTATAAATCATTTTCATTACATTTTCTTTCAAAGCATTACATGCAGTAAATTTCAATCCATTACTCCACAGCCTTTCCCAGTCCTCAAACATAATATTATGCCCAATATCCTGTGCCCACCTTATCATAGCCGATTTAACCATTTCATCTTGTGTATTCCATTCCAACAGCAAGTTATACATCCTTGAAAGTATCTTAATCTTTGGTTCTAACAATTCTGTTTCTAATTTCGATTTCTCCACCTGGAACCCTAGTTTCTTATCATTTTTAAAAACTTCTTTAATCTGAGCATAATGTAACCAATCTCGCACTTTGTCTTTCATTTTCTCCAAACTCTGCAATTTCCAATTGTCTCCATCTTTTCTAGTATTTCCCAATATTTTGGCCATTTGGCCTCCATATTGGGTCTTTTTCGGGCCTTAGCTTCCAAAGGTGAAAGCCACCTTGGTGTTTTATTTTCCAGCAAGTCTTTATATTTTGTCCAGACATTAAACAGTGATTTTCTAACAATATGGTTCTTAAAGGCCTTATTTGCTTTAACTTTGTCATACCATAAATATGCATGCCATCCAAAAACATTGTTAAACCCTTCCAAATCCAACACATCAGTGTCTTCAAGAAGTAGCCAATCTTTTAGCCAGCAGAACGCTGCGGCTTCGTAATACAACTTTAAGTCCGGCAGGGCAAAGCCCCTCTTTGTTTTGCATCAGTTAGTATCTTAAACTTAATTCTGGGCTTTTTGCCCTGCCAGACAAACTTCGAAATGTCTCTCTGCCACTTCTGAAAGCACTCCATTTTGTCCAAAACCTGAAGTGTTTGAAATAAAAACAACATTCTTGGCAATACATTCATCTTAATCGCAGCAATTCGGCCTAACAAAGAAAGTTTCAATTTTGACCAACTGTCTAAGTCTCTCTTAATTTCTGTCCAACATTTTTCATAGTTATCCTTAAATAGACTTAGATTTTTGCTGTTATGTTTACCCCTAGGTATTTTACTTTTTAACCACATTAAGTTCCGTCTCATTCTGAAACCGTTCTGACTCTGTCTCAGTCAAATTTTTCCCAAAACCTTGGTTTTCTGTTTATTTAATTTAAATCCCGCCACCCGACCAAAGTCATTAATCAATTGTAATACTCTTTTCGTACTAGGCTCTGGCTTCTGCAAGGTCAAAACCAGGTCATCTGCAAAAGCTTTTAGTTTATATTGTTTCTGACCAACCTGAATTCCTTCCACCAACTGGTCCCCTCTAATCATGTTCAATAGCACTTCCAGAACCGAAATAAATAACAAAGGGAGATAGGGCAACCTTGTCGTGTCCCTTTTTCAATTTTGAACTCTTCTGTAACCACATTATTAACTATCAGTTTAGCTTTCTGTTCTGAATATATCGCCTCAATCCCATTCTCAAAACCCCGTCCCACTCCCATCTCTTTTAAGTTTCCCATCATAAATTTCCAAGAAATATTATCAAAGGCCTTCTCCGCATCTATAAAAATTAAAACTGCTTTTGTATTTATGTCAGTTTGGAGAAGTTCCAAGATATCAATAATGTTCCTTGTGTTAGCAAACAGATGTCTACCTGGGAGAAAACCGGCCTGGTCCTTATGAATTACTTCATTTAGAACTTTTTAAATCTACTTGCCAAAATATCTGCAAATATTTTGTAATCCACATTTAAAAGGGAGATGGGACGGTAGTTCTTCAGTTGTGTCTTTTCAGCTTCTGACTTTGGTATCAATGTGATAAACGCTTCCTTCCACGAATCCGGTGCCCTCTTCCCCTCCATAATTTCATTGCTAACCTCCATCAAGGGTTGTATCAAATAGTCTTTTAGTGTCTTATAATACTTGGAGGTCAGCCCGTCTGGCCCTGGAGATTTGCCAAGTTGCATGTTCTGAATAGCTTGTTCAATCTCCTGTCGTGTTATTTTAGAGTTCAGGGTTGTCCTATTTTCTTGTGACAGTTTAGATAATCCATTTTTGGCAAAAATTGTTTAATCTCGACTTCGTCTTGCGGCCCTTGGGTATATAGTTTTTAAAATATCTCTGGAAACACTTTCTAATGTCCACTGGATTCTGAATGTTTCTTCCATCGACCTCTAAATTTGTAACCGTATTTAATCTTTGTCTTCTCTTCAACTGCCAAGATAGCAGTTTTCCACATTTATTCGCCGACTCAAACGTTTTTGTTTCATTAATTTAATCTTCCATTCAATTTCCTGATTTATCAATTTAGAATATTGTGTTTGATACAGTTTAATTTCTCTCAGAGTTGGCTGTGACTTTGGATTCACTCTTAATTTCTTCTCTAATTCTTTTATTTTATCCAAGATCTCGTCTTTTTCTCATTTTGTGTTTTTTCCTTACTACATTCTGTTGTATCAAGAATCCCCTCATGACAGCTTTGCTTGCGTCCCAGACGATTCTTTTTCCACCGAATTATTCATGTTTATCTCGAAATAGTCTTTCAAAACTTTTTGGGCCTTCTTGGTAATTTCCTGATCTCTAAACAAATTGTCATTCATCTTCCATCTAAAGGATCCAGTTGGTAGTAGTGTCATATCCATCTTTACTGCGTTGTGGTCAGAGCAGGTCTTTGGGCAGATTTCCACTTTTCTAACCCTAGGTGCCAGGCCTCTAGAAATCCATATTTGGTCGATTCTTGTCCAGGTCAGTTGGGCTTCAGAAAAGAATGTTCCTTCTCTACCTAGTGGGTTCTTTGTTCTCCAAATGTCGATCAAGTCCATATTGTCAGTCATTTCAAAAAGGTTTTAGGCAGTCTGCCATCTTTTGTAACATTTTGACTTTGCGACTTGTCCATGTTAGTTGATACGACCCGTTCATGTCTCCCATCATTATGATGTTGTTGTAATCCAGATGATCCAGCATTGTCCCCTGCAACTTCTTGTAAAATTCCGATTTCCCTTCATTGGGTGCATAGATTCCTAATATCAGCAGTTTCTCTCCTTGATATTGTATCTCAATAGCCAAAATCCTTCCATGTTCATCTTTAAATAGAAATTTAGGTGACAGGCTCTCTTTTGCATATATCACCACTCCTCTCTTCTTCACTTTGTCCGACGAAATAAATTCCTGGCCCAATCTTTTATTTATTAACACTTTTCTGTGGAGCCTCGTCACATGTGTTTCTTGTAAACAGATAATGTCCAATTGTTCTTTTTTTAATATATGAAATATTTTCTTCCTTTTTTCCGGAATGTTACAACCATTAATATTCCAGCTCAACAGTTGCAGAGACATCCTGGATCTGTCTGGTTATTTCTCCCGGGGTGGTGTCTTCTCTGGATCTTCAAGTTCCCCAGGTGCAGGTATTAATGCTGGCTTTGCCCCAGGCCCGGAAGGTAGTTCAATTCCTTTTTGTAGGTCCTCTCCGTATGTAGCCAGAAATTTATCTCTCTCTTCCAATGTTCTAATTTTGACCTTTCTCCCTCTAAAGGTAAAAGATAATCCTTGGGGAATTCCCACCTGAATGGAATTGCGTTGCTCCTTAATAGTTTAGCAAGTTCAGAGTAGGCGGCTCTGAGATCCAACAGTTGTCTTGGAATATCTTTATATATCTCAATTCTTCTATCCAAAACCTCCAGTGACTTTTCGTAATGTAGACCCAAAATCTTATCCCTTTCCTCCTTCGATCTCAATGTAATCAAACAATCCCTGGGCCTCTCCTTCTTTATAAATCTTCCAAGTCTGAAAGCTGACACAATTTTAAAGTCCTTTTCTTCCAAATTCCAGAACTTGGAAAGTTCTTTGGTCAAAAACTCAGTTAGATTTCCTTCTTCTGCCTCTTGTAATGATCTAATCCTCAAATTATTCTCACGATTTCGCAGTTCTATCATAGAAAGATAAGTCTGATGTTCCCCAACTTGTTTAGTGAGTGGTCTTACCTCTTGCTCTAAATTTTCCAATTTTTGTCTGGTATCCTCAGCCAATTTTCGGTTTTCTACTGAGGCCTCCGTTAACTGTCCAATTGCTTGTGTATTCTGTCCCACCTGTGTAGTTAATTTGTTTAGACAATCTGTATTTTTATCAATCTTTGCTGATTGCGCATCTACTTTCTTGTCCAAAGCTTCCAATTTTTCAAAGATTTTTCTAGCACAGAAACAGATGCTCCTGAGGCCATATCTTCCAATTGTAACTGCTCTGCTTCACCCTCTCCCTCTTTTGCCTGTGGCAAGGCAGCTTCTTCAAGTTGTACTTCTGAGGGCAAAGTAGGCACAGATGATCTACGTGTCTGCGAGGCTGAGGTTAGAGTTGTTAAAGTTGTTTGTCTGACTCTTCCTCTTCTTCTTGTACCACTCATTCCAATGTTATCTATCAGTCAAGGTCACACTGAGTTTTTCCCACAGGAATAGAAAGGCCCAGAGCAAGCAAACAACAAGGGAATCGAAAGTAAATGTATTTGTAAAGTCACTGTTTTAATCCAATCCTCTAGAGGGAGCTTAAGATGTCTTTCAGAGTCTGATTTAATGTCCCAGAACCTTCCAATATAAGTATTAAGCAGAGTTTAAAAGTAATCACTTTGTTGCAGACAGTGCTTATTTGTCTCCAAAAAGAATGTTTCAAATTTAAAAGGTCTCAATACCCTCAGATTGTTGCAAATTCTAATATACAGTATCCAAATCAACACTGACAGCTCACTCTTACAGTGCTCAAGCAATCCTGACTCTGGGTTTCACCTTCCAATTTATAATCCAATAAAAGGGGAAAGTCAAGTGCAAATAAAAGATCCAAATCTTTAGCTTACTGGTTTTACTTTAAATTGTAAGTTCCATAGATGCTTGGCTGTGTAGAGTTTAAAATCTCTTTCTTTCAGCCTCCACTCCTCCGCCTTAGTTGCTTTTTTTTCAAGTTCAATGGCTGCGGAAGACGGACTTCCTGTTTCCACGTCTCTCCGCTTTCAGCCAAGTTCAAGCCGAATTAAACCTTCTCATTTAAAATTTGTAATTCCAAGTGATTCAGTCTTTACTCACGAATAAGTTGTTTTTCTTCCAGGTCCGAATTTTGACAGGAAAAGGGATCAGCGCTCACCGGCAGCAGCAGCGCGGCTTCACTCCGCTGACTGTGAAGCGGCTCTCAGCGCCGCAACCCCCCTCCACGCTCCGGAGCCCCTTACGAGGCTCCTTCTGCGGTTGGAGGGCTGCTCGTGGCGCCCGCCGAGCCTCAGGACCCCAGGCTCTTGCTGCCTGGGGTTTTCCTCGTTGGGTCTCCGCTTCGCCGTAGCGGACGACCCGATTTCAGCGGAGCCTCCTCTCCCGTCGGGAGAAGACCGCCATTGCCGTTCGCGCCGCCCCCCGGAAGTCTTAAAATGTATTTTTGTTCCGAATGTGCAGAAGATGTTTCGATGCTTTTGCCAAGAATGTATTGGAACACTTAGAAAGTGAGAAAGCTGTGGGAAATCTAACTCAAGAACATAAACAGATCCTGCAGGATCAGGCCAATGGCCCATCTAGTCCAGCATCATATTCTCACAGTGT